TCATTGACTGGGGTACTATTTCCCCATAGCAGTGCTGAAGCTACAATGGATTTCTGAAAGCAGGGTTCATGACTTCAGATAAAATATTTATTTCTTCATAAAATCTTGCCTACAGGAAGTCACACCAACTGGTAATACCCAAGTCTGCTACTGTGAAAACAAAGTTTGGAGTCTGTCTCAAGAGATTATCAGTTTCAAAGATCCAGCTTGCCTTCTTATCTGCAAATTATAGCAGATAATTCATCGGTTAAAAACTACCATCAGGCTGCAGGCTGGTAGGAAACAATAGGGGAAAACTGGTGGGGAAAAAAAACTGGCTACTAGGAACACATTTGACATCACTGATGAAGGGTTTATTTTCAAAAAGAACAAAATGACTAAATAATTCAAAGCTTAATCTGTTCTTCCCTTAATAACTGCCATTGATACAAAAGCAAGACACTCTGTTGCAAGCCTGAAATAAATTGAAGCTGCATTTTCATCTTCATTCCCTTTTAATACTTCTGTGAAAGCTACTGGACTGTTATGGGGAAAGTACAGCACATCTTGTGAAAACATCAACTTAGAAAGACACATCTCCTGCTTTACCCTGTGATTGTTCTCTTCGGGAAATACTTCACTGCATTTGCTACCTTTCAAATTCAAGGTGTGAAGCAGAGCTCAACATTCTGACTCGAGACCTGGAAAAGTCCTGCAATATGCACATTCTCGCTTCTTGTCTCCCTATTCTCTCCAGCCTAGCAGCTGCTTTCCAGGTTTTCCCAACTTTGTGTTATGCCTGACGAGGTAAAAAACACATCCAATGTGAAAGACATGAAACAGCAGTGCTAGCGTGAATGCAATAGTACAGGTACTTAAAATGCCTTCTTTGTACCTGGGAGATGGGCTGCTTCAGCCCATCTTATCCACGTAGCAGCACTGATACTGTTTCAGGTGTTAGCCCCTCTTTCCAAGGACTCCTGGACTTACAAGCAGACCAGAAGCTTGTAAGAGAAATCGCTTTCTTCAAGAGCTGGATTTCCCAGTAGATCTGTGATTCATCTCTGTATTCAGAATATGCAGAACACTGGATATTCAACACATCAGCGTTGTCACATCTGACATGTCTTCTATCCACTTCTGCTATAAAAATTTACTCTACAGCTTGATTTTTTTTAAATCTTGTTGGTAGCTCTCAGAAATGTAAGCAAATGTTCACTGGAGCAGTATTGTCTTACTGAGTTCCCAGGCAGGCTAAATATCAGTCCTGAGCAAAGTGCATTACCCCATTACTGAATTAGTGCTAGAATGCAGTACCAATTTAAATACCGCTGTTAGTGTTTCCTTACTGACCATACTTAGAAAAATGCTGATGTGCTTAACCCACTGTTCTCACCTGCCTCTGAAAGTACCTAAAAGGCTCAAATGTCAAATAAGTGTGTGCACGTGTATAAATGTTTTCACAATAATACATAATTTATAAGAAAGTGTATTTGCAAAAATATTAAAGGAAGTAAAGATGTGAGCTGGAGCTTCTGAAGGAAGCAGACAGAAGCCGGAGGAAGAAGTCCTCCCAAATGCAGATGTAGAAGACAGAACGTGAAGGGGAGAGGAGAATGTCAGGGACTGAAACAATTCCCACCATTACAAAGGGTAAGTGTTTCATTTTTACCATGTATGAAAACACAAACTCTCCTCAGCATCATACAACCTGACAATACACCCCAAAACTGAAACGGTCCTTGCAGAGCAGGCAATGTAACAGCTGTGCAGCTGACATGCACCGCTCATTTAGATGGCACCTGGGTGCCACTGATGGCCCTAAACAATATTGAAAGCTACTCTCAAAGCTAACTATGAGAGGCATTTTAGCTTTCCTTATGCCCCACTGACAGCATCTAATATCAATTCAAAATACACCGACAGCTGACGTGCCAAGTATCAGCTAGTCCCAGATCTGCTACAGTCTGGAAAAGGCAATGTCAGAGGGCCAATACAAGCTCTCCCATTTGCACTGAGGGATCATATCCCTCACTCCAGCACCATGAGTGTCTGCTTCCTCACGTGCAAGCTCTGAAGCCCCTGCTTGCTTCTCCAGATGTGCATGACAACATAAGGTCACCTCACCCTGCTACCTGACCTTGGGATTGTCATGCTGGTTTATAGATGGGACAACGATTGCAATAGGAAGGCTGCAGAGACTTGATGCAGTCAGAAACCACCCTCACCTCTGACTTCCCTCACCTTACTTGATTTAGAAACTTGCTCAAAAAACTGCATCCTGAATGAATCCCTGAATAGCTATTGTGCCCTGCAAAAAACTCAGTTTATCTGGACATAACAAGCAGAAGCAAGACACATGCAGTGCCACAGCTGTCTTGCAAAAAAACCCCGCGTTTCTATGCTGGGCTCCAGAAAGGATAAAAAAGTTTTTCCAAACCATATCAGAAACTTGTTCCTAAAATGTCTCTGGTAGGTGAGATAATTTGGGATATGCCCTCCACCATTCTGGCTTCAAACTTCTTAACTAAAGAGACCGCTGTCACCTGTGCAGAAGTCAATGCTGGCAGTGCTGATGACAGTCAGGCTGAACTAGCAATGGGTACACCTTAGTTTCACTCTCTTTTCTGATGCTGCTAAATCCCTGACTCCTAACTGCAGCCAAGCAGCAAGAGTATCAGAGCTCTAGATCAGTAAGCGTATAAAAACACTACAGACAGTGTTAAGACACTTATCACTCCTCTTCACAACCACTGTTCCCCCGGCTTTTGAATTTTACCTTCAACGTTATAAACTTTTTGAGGCAAATGAGTCTTAATCTGATTTACTACACTAATGACTACAGAAACTTGAGAGAGAGGAATGAAGGTTGCTTAGTATCAGTGGCCTGGCACATAGCAATTCATCTCAAGTTTCATTTCTCAAACACAACCTCCGTGATGTTGAACCAAACAAACTCTCTGTGACTCAGTTTCCAACCTCTGGAACAGAAAAAACAGTACTTTTTACTTCACAAAAGGACCTGTAGTAAGGTTCTCCATAATGCATCAATTATTATAAGGCAGTCAGGCAACCACACAGAAATAATTACTGAACAACAGACTCTCTTCCCTGAAAAAGAAAGCTCAGGTCAATGTGGCAACTGGCACAGACTCCAATTACAGGAGAACTTTTCAAAGAGAACAGCTGCGTCTCCGAGTTAATACCTATTCTCATTAATCAAGGCACAAATAACACTAACATGCAAAACTACAGGCAAGAAATTATTTAACCTTCATCCAGACTGTAGCTTCATTATAGCAAGAGAATCAAGAAATCTAGATCTACATACAAGATGGCTAGCTCTGATTATCTCTACATTACTTTGATAAAGGGTATGATGAACATACTCATAAAATACTTCTTACTGCTCTGATCTTAATAAATGGTTATATCACAATTGCAATTGCACCTAACTTGGATTTGTTAGAACAAGCTTCTTTATACTTACCAGGAACATGAACTTGGAGATAAGCAAGTAAATGTTTATTTTGGCTTTATGTATGGTTGAACTCCTGGCATACGTTTTATTTTCAAAACCAATTTCACATTTCGCATTTTTGAAGGCACTGTGGTCTAATATTTGGAACAGCAGGTTGGGAAGCCAAATCTCTCTGACATCCAGTGCTTTCACACAGTGACTGGTGGTTCAGCCTCTGTTACTCATACACCAAGAGCACTTCAGTCTGAAACTAATCTCACTGAACTATTTCGTATGTAGAAGGCCATTTCTAAAAATGAGTAAGAGGGACAAAAAGTGGATCTGAATTGCTGGGGCTTTTTTAGTATTTTTTGTACGCCTAGAGACAGCGTAGAGTTAAACCTCCTCTTTAAGAAGACTACTTACACAGCTGCTGCAAATGCATCTTGTATTTAAACTCTATTGACACAGGATGACTTTCTGGCTCTGCCTTCTTTACTGGAAATTATGTTCTTTGCTCCAACTTCCCTACAAGATTGCTGTGTTTTTCTTCTCTACGTTGCTGCTGTTGTTCCTCTCTCAAGCACTGACAGAACCGATGGGGCCAGAGGTTACTCATTCTTATCTTGCTCTGCTTATCTGTTGGGCACTCCAGTCCATCTCCTGGTTGTCCTTATCGCAGTTTTGCTTCCCACTCCATTGAAAAGTAATCAAGGGAAGGCATTGTATACACAAATTGCAGCCTGACAGAAAATCAACTGACTCCCAAAGCAGCATCTTGGGATCCACCATCAGGCAGAGATTATCCAGAATGTCAATGACAGTACAACTCACATGTTTTGTGTCCAAGGTGATTATTACTCCAATAACTGGAAGACGGAGAATTGAAGTTTTGCAGTCTCTATTATAAAAATGAATCTGTCTTTTCCAGCTTTTGCGAAGGTTAAGTTGGGATTGCATCAATCTCCCAGGTCTGCTGACACGCATGTTTCAGATCTCTGCAGTTCTCCCTTGTCCTGCCTGCAGTGCGCCTAATATTCTCCTCCTGCAATCTCTTCAACAGTTACCCCTGCCAAATACCATAACCCTAGCTTATACTCGCCTTCTCAGCTCCTTCTCATACATAAGAAATGTTATCAGGTACAATTTCAATGCCTGTGAACTTCTGTAATGCCTTGTTCAGTTTAAACCAAAATTACTTCGAGGCTCACCAGACACCCTGTGTTCCCACTGCTTTAAGGTCACACGCAAAGTTTTAGAATTTGTTTGCTTTTTGTCCAGAAACCAGCACTTTGAATGCCCTGTGTTATTCAGAGCTGCCTGATGACTCTGTTTCTAGGTGCTGCTTTTTTTCTTACAAATTGTATGTTCTTCCTTACAGTGGAATCCATTATATTGACCACTGCCAGTATGTTTTATGTAAGATATGTTGGTTAACGAAATGAAAGGACTTCATGCTTGTAAGACCGAACTATCTCTTTAATTCAGCAGATGTTGCAACTGAAATTATCACTTAAACCATGGGCATACAAATTGTCTTCCTGGTACCTCCTGCAATGTGAGCTGCTCCCACAAAGATTCATGCAGGTTGCTACAAGCACTCCTTCATTACCCCAGCTAAGGATCTGGCAAGAAAATAGAGGCTTCATTGTACTAAGTGCTGTACGTTATTAGATTAAAAGTGGTTTTGTCCTAACAGTTCATTTGAATACACAGGACAGTACAAAGAAAAGAAATGTTATTATCCCCATTTTACAGACAGTAGACTGAGGCATTGGCATAATAAGCAATTTGTCCAAAATTATGCAGGAAATCTGTCCTGGAACAGGGAACTGAACTCACAGATTTTTATTTCGTCCTTTTTAACTAGAACACGAAGAGGAAACAGGAGCACTACTAAATCTGCTGGTTCTGAAACACCCGTACCTAGGTCTGACAGACATCGTATTTCCAGTTATTGTCCTACTGGCTTCCTAAAAGAACAATCCCAGTGATGTAAAATGCTTTCTGTTTCTGAGGGACATAATGGGATGCCCTGCGTTCTTTCCTTCGGTCTAGAGACCTCCACTCTGCACCACAAGCTGCTCCCCTCCCCACCTACCAAGCACCTCCGAATCTGATGTTACCTGCCAAGTTCTCAACAGTACTGAATTCTTACATCAGAGTTTTGTGTATCCGCTCTATGGCATCCTCCAGCTCTTCCTTCTGGTCTGGAACAAAGCGGTACTCCGAGACGTAACCTGCAGTGTGCTTATACGGGTCATAGTCCCCCAGCTCGGCTAGAGGACACAAGAAGAAAAGAAAGGTCACCTATTTTCAATGCTTTATGTTAACCAAAATATGTTATATAATCCACCTATTTGTTGCCAAGCCACCTCTTCCCAACTGACTGTCAATTGACCATGCAGTCAGTTAAAAAACCCAAAGACAGTACAGAACTGTTCATATTAGCGCACATAAAACCGAGAAAAATGTCTTCAATCATTTTAAAAGAGAAATGGAAGGTTCAAAGAGCTAGAGGATTTGACAGGAAATCTACCACTTCTACAGGACTAGATATAGTTTCGTCCAAGCCAGCAAAGTTGAAATTTGATGACATATATTATTTGGCAGCACATGTAAAACAAGTGTAGAAGCAAAGTCTAGTTTTTGGAATACCTATGCCCTCACGGTAAGCTGTAATATTACAGATAGAACTGATCCATATTCTTGCTGGGAATCCTAACATGAATGTCAGTGTGGGAATGCGAATGGAGACAAATATCCTGAGACACCTAGAGGTACGCCCTTCTAAGGGTAAGCGTCCTTTCTTGTGAGGAAACACAAGACTTCATTTTTCAATAAAATACCGATATACTTCCTGAACATTAAATTCACTTTCAAAATCAAAATAATTTTTAAAAGAATCTTCTTAAAGAAAAGAACCTAATGAATAGCCAACATAATTTTCTTTGAAACAACCTTGAATTTGCTTACATTAGTTTTATCAGTTTACATGTTGCCATGCAATTATAAAATAAATATGCACCTTGGTCAGAACTCACTCCTACTGATCTTAATTCTAATTGCATCTCTCTGAGAAACTCTGTTAGTTAGTATTTCAATTTTTCAATACCCCTGAGTAAAATCTGCATAGACTGGGCTTCTCTGAGAAAAGCTGCATGGAGGTTTCTATCCAATACCCACTAAGCCAAAAACATAGACAACAGGAGGCTTCAAAAGCCAAGAAGAAAAACACTCATCTAATAACTCATGTTTCTTTACAGAATTTAATGATGCTTCCTGAACGAGACAACAATCTGCTTAGCAGCGATGTTGAGAAGTTTCTCTAGAAAACCTCTGTAAAAACAATGTGGTCCTTGCCCATAGCAGGAACAAGAACAGGATTGACTACAACAGCAACAACTCCAGCATTCCCAACAGGAAAACTGGTATATTCTGCAAACTGTGCCACGGGTACTGATTTTTCCACCACCACCGCTACAACAGTCTGCAATCTTTGACCACGAAAAGAGGAAATGATTCTATGTGCTAAGGACAGGATCTGCCCGGAGACCAAAGATGAGACGCAGGCACAACCTGCATGGTGAAAGCAGGGCCCATGGCTGGAGCAGGACATGGGTAGAGGACTCTGCGAGAACGCATGGCCCTGGCTCCTCCTCCAGATCTCCGCAGCTGCTAGCTCCACTGGGAAAGACACCACTGATACCATTACAGAAGCAGAGCTTCTCAGCTATTACTGAATTCCCAAAACGCACTTATCTCAGTTTGGATAAGAAAAAAGCACGGTCTGGCACATCACCCTTGTAAAGGCTGTTGACCTCAGTGCTGATGCTTTGGGTTCATATTTTCAGTATCTATCTGACACAGGCGTTTCTCAGGTGTCTATACTTTGAACAACTGCAGGCCTAAATAAAAGGCTTCATACTTGCAGTATTTTTTCAGGGAAGGCATGTATGCCAGTAAAGTGAAATGTGCATTGCAAACAGTTTTTCAGAGTGTGAAATGTCACATTTCTTAGAGGACAAAACGAAGTTAAGAATAATTGTACAAAAATAAAAACTGCCTGAAATTTTAGCTTTTCGGAAACACATATAACACACTGTGAAATTCTGTGTAATGCCCATTCCCATTTCAGAAGTTATTCTGCCCTGTTATTCTAAAATGGAAATGAAAGGAGGACTATTTTTTATGTTGTATTAAGTGTTGTTGAGTCACACTTGGAACACCAATAATACAAATAATCTTTGCTTAATACATATCACTCATGAGAAATCTAAATTCAACATAGAACAAATTACAGACACAGGTCCCAGCATGGCTCATCATACGATTTTTGGTTACTGTCGTGTGTTTGAATACAGAGCTTGAGCTGTAATGTGAAAGGAATAACTAACTGGTAGACAGACAGCTCCTTTCTAATTGATTGCTAGTTCTATCAAGTATGCAGGATATAACATCCACTTCTGAAAAGCTAACTACTGATGGGTGAATGCAGATAAATGACAGATAGAATTAAAATTCTTCACTTCAGGTCAAAACACATCCTCCCTTCAAGCATAGGTGCATTCATACTGACATAATGTAATTTTTTAAAGAACCTTTTATTTGACAGACTTTGTTGGCTGGAGGCTGCCAATAGCCCATCAAATCTGTAAACCTCCTGATGAAGGTTTTGTCATACTCTATATGCAATCCAGAGTAAGTCATAAAGTCTTAAGTACATGATAAGGTACTCCTCAGCAAGGAAAAGAGTGTTTGGCAGACTCTTCAAACTTCTTTCAGTTTCTTCATTACATTAACTTCTACATTGCTTCTACATTATCTGTTCAGAATGGTCATCTATTTACAGTTCTTTAGCTGAAATCAGTCATACTAGTTTTGTTCTGTTTTGAAATGAATGTATAAAGTGTTAGTGAAATCTTCAGTCACCACTTAAAATTAATCATAATAAAGGATTAAAAGAAAGAAGCTCTCAGTTGGCCAGAAGAACTTACACTGAATTACATATGCTCCCAGCTGTGCTGCAGTGTTGATTGGACAAGGCAAGCGACCCTGTAAAACATCTTGCTTGACCTGCAAGAAAAACTGATACCTAGAACACAGAGAGAAAACAAAGCTATTATTTCAACATTGTGCCTGATGCTCCAAGTAATGTTTCATCATCTTCCAGTTTACTGAAGACATACCACGTACCACAACTATGTGACAGTCAAAAACGGTATTCCTCTCTGAATGACTTTTCCCCTATTGACCTTGAAGGAGCAACTAAGATTAATCTAGTGAAAGAACCTAGGTAGGGGAGCTGCTCTGCAGTTTTCCCATCTGCTTATATTGTGCAGATACAATTCATTTTACTCCTAAAAATGTACTTTCTCTTTTGACTTTCATAGAGCAGTCAGGAAGTGGGGAAGAGGGCTAGGAATCAGAAAAACTGAACAAGAAACCTATCAAAGGGCTGAAGTTTAACCTGATCAGTGGATCAACATAAGGGAGAACTGGGTATTGGATACTTCTTAATTCAGAGGTTTCCTCTCCACACACCAGAGTATCAACTCTAGAGCAGCAAGCAGATTTGATGGAGTCCATACTTCCATGAAAAAAATGGATGGGCAGCTAACTGTATCTGTCATAGCATAAGGTACTCTTCTTCTTGGAATAGAGATAGCAGGGGTAAAAATGTAATTTTCAAAGTCACAACCTTCTTCTACACTTGATGAAGCACGTACTGAGACCACTTACAGTGAAACAATATGCACAAAACAGATGGAAAAGACAAGAAAACAAGCCATCACACAAAGGATCTGCGTCGTTTTGCTACTCCCCATACTCATTTATAGGATATCTTTTAAACACTGTTTGGGTTTTGAATGGTTTTATTGCAACAGATTTACGCAGTGTTTCACATCATCCTAAGTGAATTTCTTGCACCAAGTTCATACAAAAGGTAACAATACTGAAAAGTAACCTTTTAAAGAAAAAAATGGTCATCCATGCAAGCATGTAACTTTTTCATTATTCATTAATTCAGCTTTACCTATGTAGAGCCATTCAGCTACACTGCAAATAATTTATTCTGTGTTAGTACAAGTTACTCATGAAAGCACCTTGGAATGATCTGTAAGTTCAAAGTGCATCTATGCTGATTTTACAGAAGTTCGCAAACTGCAGGTTACATGACAGCTTATCCACAAATCATTTAAGATCCAATCAAATTTACTATATTTCATCAGCCCAGATGAGCCTCTGAATAAGGATACTAGTGTCTTTCTGGTTAATGACCCCCCAGAATTTGTGCTGTGACAGATATTACAGTAGGAACGTCCATCCTGAAAAAAACAGCTAATATTCTCTGCCTTAAAGGACCAGGGCACTGCATAAGAATTTTCTGGGAATGTCATTAGGCAACACAAGGCCTCAGTGTTTCTTCACTCTAAGCAATACCTCAGTACTGCTTCTAGCTTATGCTTGCCAGTCCTACCTAGACAAATCTTCTCTGTATGAATGATGATAATGACAAAGATGATTTTACATCTACTGTGGAGTACACAGCATCTTCTTTTTAACAAGAAATGCATTTCTGATATGCACCTGTCTTTCTGTTAGCACTTCTGCATCTCTACAGTGCAGAGCTTCATACCAAATGATGTTACAAATTTCTTTTCCGTGTAGCAGGTGTCTGTATTTCTGCATTCTCATAGTGTAGTCTCAAAATAAAGCAGGATAGGAAACTCCAAAAAACACCACCTCTCTGCAAAAAACCGTCAGAGCCAACTGTTAAGTGCTTAAGTGACTCCCATACAGTGAACGATCTCAATTCCAGTGAAGCTCCTAAGCTCCTCAAAAAACCAGACCTTTTGTCCAAACTTGTAGCTAAAGCACTCTCATCTTGTGCGCTGTCAAGTTCGTCATGCATATATAACAGTGCCTAAGTGCTAGTTTGCTCTAGCAAACACATCCAGCAAATGTTAATATGAATCACCACAGCGTTACCTTTTGCCTACAAGCTAGACAGATTTTGCTGTGAAGCAATTACAAATTTGACAGGTTTTCATTATTTGCAAATAGTAATCATGTAACACCACAGATCATCAACATCTAATAGCAACAGACTCCGCTCTCATATCCATTAAAGTAACAAACACATGCTCCAAAGAAACATAACGGTTAGCACAGAACAGTTAACACATCACTGGAATTACACACTTAGGCAGGAAAGTGTTATTATAAAGAAAAATAGGGCCTTTAATCGTTCCTAAGCAGAAGGAGGTTTTATTATTATTATATTTTTTTATGAAAAGGTATACCTTCCTTCCAGGGTTTAACAGCCTATACGAATAAATGCTCAGAAATGTTGAGGGCATTTGACTCTTCAATGTGTTCTGTTGAAGAGTGTGAATACAAGCATATTTCCCTCTGTACCTTCTAAGGTGCAAATTCTGCATGACTAAACACTGTGCAGATATGAACAGAGGTTTACTAATTATACTAAAACGCTTCTCGACTAGATTTGCACACCTAGTCATCAGTGCAAATCACTGACTGACCTTATCACACGGCAAAGAGAAACAGTTTTTGAAAATTTAGCCCCTGTCATTTCACAGACAGAAATCCACCCTGCCTCCGAGGTAGCCATCACAACAGGTTTGGTGGCCAAAGCTCCCTTCCCAGGGCCATCTGTCTTCTCCTGTAAGCAGGGCTGAAAGTACTTCTGGAAAAGTACAGGAAAACTGCATCAAACTTTCACAGTACAGGAGCATCGCACTGCAGCCAGCTTACGCTCTTTTACCTGCAAAGTCACAGTGTTTATTATTTTTACCAGGCCAGCCTCAATCTTGTTACACTGGAGACTTCCATTCCTAAGTATCGAAACAAAAGGATTTTCTCACTCTGGTACGAGAAAAATATTCTGCCTGTGCTGCGACAACTGCCACCTTTGATTAAGGAAAATTAAAAACCCTGCGTGCATTCTAATGAATTCACATGTGTCATATTCCTAGAACATCAAAAGAAATATTTTGGCATTTATTAATGCAAGCCAGCACACTAATTTTGTCCGTCTACCTATGCAAATTTGAACCTAAAACTCTCTGGTACGAGAAAAATATTCTGCCTGTGCTGCGACAACTGCCACCTTTGATTAAGGAAAATTAAAAACCCTGCGTGCATTCTAATGAATTCACATGTGTCATATTCCTAGAACATCAAAAGAAATATTTTGGCATTTATTAATGCAAGCCAGCACACTAATTTTGTCCGTCTACCTATGCAAATTTGAACCTAAAACTAATTGTCTCATACCTTTCATAAATAAAGCAAACAGAAAACCCTGTGCGTTAGAGTTCAGGCAAGCATGTGTGTGTATGTGTCTGCGTGCATGCGTGTGCTTGTGCTAGTGTGTGCATCCTCGTATTTTGTAGAGGCCAAGCTTAGTTAAAAGAATCAAAAGCATGCAACTCTTCAATTTCCTTCGCATATTTTTAGAAAGACCAAAAGAAATCCTCTTGAAAAACAGTTCTGGAATTTAAGCTATGGCCAATAAAGAAGAAAATTCCATGTATTTATATTTGATATCCAAGTAAACACTAAACTTGATTATAGCACAATATAAATGCAGATGTGACAATGCATTCCTTAAAAAACCCCACAAATGCACATCAAGTCCCTTTGATTTTTGATGTGCACCAGAGGGCACCTTTTCAACTTGAGCTTTGAAATAGTTGTCCATACCGACCACTGTGAAGCCAGTCACAATTCTCTTCCTACACATACATGTTCAAGCAAAAACGTTCAGATGTTCAAGCAAAAAAAAAACCACCCCAGCCACACCATAACAATATGCGCATGGCTGGACAGATTACTACCCTGAAATCAACAAACTACACTCTTATTAAATACTGTACCTTGTTATTTCTTCTTTAAGTTTACAGGGATCCTCTGCGTAGAATTTAATGCCAAAATACAGAGTGTATGGTGGTCCAGCTGAGGGAAAAAAATATTCAATGCAAAAGTTAGTTGTTATGAACTGTTAATTGTTATGAATTGTTACGAATTGTTACTAGTTGACTACAAAACAGCTACTAAAAAGCCTATGTTAATATTTTATGAAACTTGAAAGTTTCAGAAAAAATCTTACATTCACATAGCAAATCTGTACATCTATACTCATTACACATGAGGAAAAAAAAGTAAGAAAAGGATTTTTATCATTATTTTTCTAGTCTTGTGTTTATTTATTCACAGCTTGTCTGTCTACTTGGAGTCTTTGCTTATTTTGAAGATCTGACTTTAGATTTCATTGCTAACTTACTATATCTCCAAGATTTTTTTTTAACTGTTTGATTTTGACCTTTAGATACTTTTTCCACTGAAACTTTTTGAAAAATACAGTTGCGCATGAAACGTGATTCCCTGTCATAACTGGTACCACTAAATACTAATCCACACTTTCAAATATCTTATGGAGCAAGTTTAATTATGCGCCACTTTAATTAAGAAATATTTGGAAAAGCTTTTCTAATTCACCTTTTAAAAGTGGTGATTAATTATTAGTTAATTAATTATTCTCCCAAAAGATTCCCTTAACTCAGTACTGAAATTCTTAACAGCTACATTTATTCCATGCATGCTCCACTTCTACATCTTTTTATAGAAGGTCTCCAACTTCGTAAGTAAAACAATCTTATCATGTTCTTTAATTATAATAAAAATAACAGATCTTGCATCTGTGATATCTGAAGAGTGACAGTAAAAGCAGACACTCTATTATCAGTAACAGGCACTACTTTACTTTCAGAAGAAAAAAGGAATCTGTGTTGGTTATGGTATGGTACAATATGGTAGAGGTATCACAGCTACCACAAAATTAATTATACAAGTTAAGAATAGCACCATTTATTATTCGAAAGTAAAATTTAAACACAGAGAAATCTTTGGACAATAATCACACAAATTTTTGGAAAATGACGGTATGTTCAATCCATGTGTGAAATTTTGATACAGCTATGAACTGCAGTAATAAACTTACTCAAGAACTATCAATCTGTTGTGACTAGAATACAAATGGTGTACAGGCTGTATATATGGAACATTGCCTCTGTTACTTCATGTTCAGATACATTCTTTAAGTTCAAATTAAATACATACTGTTTATCAATTCTTTATGTTCAGCAAGGGTCTTTGCAGGATCCAGCCAGTACTGTGAGACAGATAATTACGGTAATTAGTCACTTAACATGGAAAATTGATACAGAACAATTGCAATTCTGTATTTATTCACATAATGATATTTATTAGCAGACTGACACACTTCAGTCTGCTATCGACAAACTTGTGCCAGCTTCTGATCAGAGAAACACCGTCTGTTCAAGTCTAATGTTGCATATCTTCTCTGGGGGTAGGGGTCTTCCTAAGAGGAAATCTGCTTGTAAGAGCCACCACATCTCAGGCTCATGACAAGCTGGCTCTACAGAAGCATCATATTAAGTACCTGTTGGTGTCTACCTGATCTGCTGTAGCTAGTACATGGATGTGCAACCTTGCTATTTTCTTCCTGGGAGATTAACCTAAGCAGGATAACTCTAAATTTAAACAGCAACAACAAAGCATGTAAGACAGGACCTACAAGGAAAGAATGAAGGGGCTTCACTTGTTTTCTGAAAAACAAGATTGTAGGGGGGAATAGGCATAACAGCACTGTTCCAGCACCTGAGAAACTGCTGTCAGAACATACTGACCAATTTTTCTTCATGTCCACTAAGTATGAAGAAATTGGCCTAACGAGAAGCAAAAATTAGTTTCGATTTTCAGAAACGGTTTCTAGTAGCAGGGAGAGTGGATGTCTGGAAATTGGCACAAGGGACGGAGGGCACAGACTCTTCCACCGGATGGTTTGCAGGAGTAGCTGGACAAATGTGTCAGAGATGATCGAGGTACGCTTAGTACATCGCAGAGGGATGAACTGTTAACAAGGGTTCCCATACCATTTAATCAACAAATTTAGCGTAGTTTATAATTTCTCACTAACTACTCTGCCCCGTCTTTATCAAACTTCTAACGGAAGTTTTTCTGATATTGCTGATGACCACAGACCAGCTGTTTACTCATCATCGTCACTACACAGGTCACCAGCATCCTGCCCTTGTAATCCCCTCAGCAACTTATTTCTTCCTTAGCTTGACATTTCTATGATTCAGTTTTGGAAGAAAGTGCAGAGGCAGTTGCCAAGATCATTCTTGTCTTCCTTTCTTCCATCCTCTTCCCTCAGACACAAACTTTTTGGACCAGCTGAGATTGGCACCCCTTCTTAAAACACTGGAAACAAAAAGGCTGCAGGACACAACTGCTATAAAGAGCAAACTGAGGTGGATTGAATCTACTCTCTTTTTTAACTGAGGAACTACAGAGACCAATGAATAAAGAAACTCCTTACCTGCACCCCTGAACTAACCCTATAGAGAATAAGAATAAAATGACTAATCAAAAAATCTCCCCCCCTCTATCCAGTGAACTTCTCTAGACTTAGGAATTTCACTATTAGAATGAGTAGCATAAAGAAGGGAGGGAAAAACACTGCAAAGCATTTGAGTGGAAAATTTCACGCAACTAATTTCATAAGTGGTTGTAAACAACTATCATCATTATTTTGACAAAACATGAAAACAAACTACTTCCATTAGCTGCTGATCCACCTGCAATAGAAACAGCTGTATGCCTTGATCTTGGCCATTGCTATTTCAAATCCAGGAATGTTTGTTGAGAAAATTTCCTAAATTTTGAAGGAAAAAAAATATTCAGTACATGCTTGTATTGAATACATCCAATAACTATGTACATATAAACTCTCTTAACCTCGACAGAAGGTGGGAAGGGAAGAAAAACTTGTGACACTTGTTCAAACATCCTACTAGAACTCCCTATCAGCAATAATCTGAGCTAGCACAACAGGCTGATAAAGAGACTTTACAGTCAACAGGCAGAAAAAAGGCAAAATGCCTCTGCAGTGCACATTCTGGCTATGCAATGCGGTCAGAATGTGGTCTGACCTCTTCCCAAAAGTGGCATCACAGTATGAACAACACGTTGTCAAGCTAGCTTGCTTATCCCTGACAGCTTTGTGTTACACTGCAAGAGTTTCAAAATCAGATCAAAATCTATCACAGAACTCCTTCATTAAGTTCTCCTGAAGTGAACTGAAATCGGCTTCAAGATATATTTTCTTACAGTCCTCTTTGCAGTTTAGCTTTACATGCATGGGTAGATTGATTATTTGTAAAAAAAAAAAATAAAAATTATATTGATGGATCATCATTCAAGATTGCAAGTCAAGCACAGAACAGTTACAGATTTCTGGTTGTCTCTGCAACCTGAATTACACTGCTTCTTGCATCCAGGTGATTCACTGGCTGCCATGAGACAAACCAGAATTGGGCCAGGTCAGTGAAGACTGTATGGGCACTTGCAGACAATACAATCAAAACAGAGTTGCATTAGAAGTCTTAATTCTCACTGGGCTGTACTTGACTTGCAAGTCAAACTATATTCCTTGTACGGTCTTCTCTTCTGAAGGCAATTTCTAAGGTTGCGGGGGGAGGGGCAAAATTAAGAGGGAAAACTGCAAGTTCAGATTCAGAGGGAATCTGAAAAGAGGAGAGGGAACAGATCTGGTTATTCCTATCGCTAAGCATTTCCTTTCCGTCCCCCAAACCGAGCCAGCAGGAGGAACTGCCCTTGCAGCCCTCATCCCTGTCAGACAGATTGCTGCTACTCGTGCTAGTGAAAACCAGCATCAGCTGGCACGAGGGAATGCGCTCCTTTGAGGGTACCACGGGCCTCGAGAGCCGCGTGCTGCATTAGGTGAAGTTAAACACTCCGGCTCAGATCGGTTTACTGCTGGGACAGAGAGTGGTGGGGAAGATGCAAGAATCTCGCCTGCCTTCTCGTCTCTCCAGTAAGTATTTAGGATTGCGGCACTGCCACAAGCCCACGCTTAAAATCACTGTGTGTAACTATTTATTATTTCAAAGGCTGCCAAAATTTTCCTGAAGAATGCAAGGGGTGGGGGGAGGAGAGGGAGATTTCCAACATTTCATTTGCAAGCCAAAGATGAATGGAATTTCATGGATAATGAAAAGGCATTTTTCAAGCCAACGTTAGATAATAAAGATGAGAACATTTACAAAACCAAGAACCCCGACAACAGAGCACTCTAAGCATACATATGCACACATACATAATAATGCGATTAGATCCTGTTAAATGTTTGCATATACATATAAATAGTGTTGGGTATAGTTACAGTTTTGAGCTCACATGTTAAAGTGCCAAGAGAAATGGAACAAAAAGGCAGAGTGTCTTATTAATCCAATACACTTGCACAGCAGGTGCTGACAACAAACCCTGCATTCGTGAATGCCAAAGCAGCTCCAACACGCAGCCTCACTCTTTTTATCTGTTTGGCAGCCAGCATGCCATTTCTCAGTGATTTCCCACCGGTATCTCTCCTGCACAGACAGCAAGGGTTATCCGACTTATAAACAGCTCACCACTACTGCAAAGAGGTGGAGGGCCCAGCATATACCCATCCAACTGCAGGGGATAAATTTTATGAATCTGAAAGGGGAATTTAACATTTACAGAAGAAATGGGAAAAAACCAATGATTTTTAAATAGTCCTAATCAATGCAACTATCCAATTACTAAAGTGATGGCTACTAGTTTACTAATTGTTATTTACAAAGACCATATAGTGTTAGTTTAATTTAACAATTTTTAATTTACTAAGACTGATTATAAATGTACAATGTTATTAAAGAAAATAATTCCCTTTTAATTTTTAGGTAGAACTTATAAAAAAAGATGTTTTAAAGTACAGCTTATCTAAGAATAGACGGGCTCTATTGTCCTTCGTACTTTTACAAATCTGGCTCCCATACGAGCCAGATGTGTAAGCAGTATGTATCCAAGTGTCATGCAGTCTTTCATATTTAGCCTTTTAAATGACTGCAAACATTTTTCCGCAAATCTGGAATCTTCATTCCTTGTATCTGCATAGGGTTAAACCTGGGTCAAATTCCATTAACCTGTTCGAAACAAAATATTAACTAGGTTGAAATGTTTGCTGTGGTATCAATCAATGAAGTGGCTGGTGGAAAAAAAAAAAAATTTATCGACTTCAAACTAAATCCTGGGCTGTCTTAATTAGATTCTTACGAAGCTGTACCCATCATGCCACACATGCCAGTTTTTGTTCACATTTACAACAGGAAAAACCACAACTTTCAAGAGAAAACCCAGTATTCCTCAATTATAATCTGAAATTATCAAGATTTTTTCACAATCTAAGACAACACTAATAATTAGAATAATTTTGTCAGTTTTTTCTGCAAGTGTTCAGTGCAAAGAATCTAAATCTGCTAAGCTCAAGACATCCTTATTATATAAGAAATCTATAAATCATCAGGCAATTCCTATATACAAATATGTACTTAATACTTCAGTCTTTTCTTTATTAGAATCTGAAGTTATATTGATTATATTTAGTATTAGATCATCAGTGTGAGTATCCTTTTGATCCTGCTACACTCTAAAAGCTTATTCTTACTGCCTGTAACTCACCTGACCATCAGCTTTGTCTAGCTTGCTTTAATCCATTAACAATCTTGTAAAATTTCTAGCTTCTAATCAGTATTATCAGTCTCCATCTTCTTTCCACTGGCCATCTATTTTAACAAGCACAACAGGTCTTTTTCTTTCTAAATAATTTAGTATACCATGCTTGTGGGCAAATGCCAAATCCATACAAAACCAAAAATCCATACAAAACCAAAATACAAGCTAAATACAATTCATCTGTTTTCTAAGATCCTGAGATCAAAATATACACTACATTACATGACAGTAATTCTCTAGAGAACAGACACTTTAGATTGTAAACAAAACTTTTGTCAAAATCATGCCCTTCTTTCTACAGTTAAGTTACATACAGCCTGTTCAATCTGTTACCCTACCCTATTTGGCATAGTAACCTGGCAATCTGAGCACGCTGAGTTACTGTATTAATCACGCTCGGATGGATCAAGAAGCATCTCTCCGATATATGAGTTTGCACAGCAGGGATATGCAATTCATGGCACAGGCTTCTGTGCTCAGCTTTGCCACAGCTGACCTGACCTACCACTGCGGCACAGCGACTCACAGTACGAAGTTCAGCTTCACAAGAAACTGAGACCTGCATCTCCCCTCTGTCTCTACGTGCCCTCTGGGCTACGCAGCTGCGCAATATATTGCCATGGACTAGGTTCTGCCTGCTGTGCTCTCCGGTCTGCATGCTCAAAACAGAGCGTGCTCATAGCAGGGGAGAAACAACACAGCTACGCTACGGGGTGGGTGCACGGTACAGAGACAGAGCGCTGCCCATCTCATATTAGCTCCAGATCTTGGAGCAGCACACGTACGTTTGCACAGCACTACACTTGAGCTAACCGGGACTGGGGAAATGAGCTTGGCTGCGATACTGGATTAACATGATGATACGGCTTTCTGTATTTGTATTTCTCCCCTTAGAGCCCTAAAAGAGTATCAGTATGCTGTACATTGTGAATATAATAGTTCAGATTAGCATTATATCGGATAAGAAGGGAAGGATTTTTGCATCACAGCCTGCTGTACAATGCAGACATGCCTCCTGCAGCTTTAGGTTAAGCAGGTTTAGCATAAGAGTTCGGTTAGGGGTGGTGAGGGGGGCAGCCTGACCAATGTGAGATTGTAAAGTGCAGCCAGGTTTCTGGAAGTAAAAAAAAAAAGGTTTTATTATCAACAAACCTTTAAAATGCTTTTGGTTATTTAGTTTTCTGCAGTAAGAGAGTTTCAAAAACTTTTTTGTACGAGAAGCTCTAATAGCATGACTCTTTTCATCATGCTTTTGTGATTTGACAAGGGAATGCCTTTGGGCTTCAAAAGTACCCTTCCCCTCATCGAATTCTGCTCACCTCTTCCTGAGATATTATGCGTTAAAATTGCCATTTCCATTCTCTCTTTTGTGTGCCTCAAGAAAATACTGGCCTCCTGCCAGAGCAGTAATTAGCATGACTATCCTAAGGCACACAGGAGATGCCACAAAGGCAGCAGCAAAGGGACTCTGTGGGGAGCACGGGGGAGCTGCAGCACGGTGGGAACCAGAAGCAAGAGGGGCAGGGGACCTGCATGGGCCTCCCAACACTGGCTTACCCAGCATTTGGCCTCTCCTCCACTAAAGGACCGGTACATCACTGGGCCGCTGTTTTCCGCAAACACTAAAGCAATGAGAGGCTAAAAGGCAGGATGGAGTTTCCTAAGCCACCTTCAGCTTCTGCAACACAGATTCTGGTGGTCGTGTTTTGCCTGCAAATACCAGACGGGGCACAATGTCCCGCATTTCTGGCAGATGAGGCAGAAGACAAAAATGCCCTGTCAGTCAGGACCCAGCTGACCATCCACATTAACAAGCATAAAGACTGTATCTGGTCTCAGCTTAGCCTAACTCGAGTGTCAGCAGTCTCTGCAGCAATGCAAAAGGCTCCGGTGAAGGGCTGATGATGATCACTGAGAGATTCAGTGGCACTCAAAGAAAACTGGTCTTCCTTTCAAAGCATTTGCACCAAAAAAGGTACTCATGTACTACATTAAAAAGCACCATGTAGTTTGTCAACCAAAGCAAAGTTAGGAAACACTACTGACAACCTACAGCATTAGTTCAACCCATGTGTTCATTCGGGTGTAGTTTTATATTACAAGATTTTTAATTAATTATTAAATGTTATATTTTAATTTATTATTACAAGATACTTCTTGCTTTTCCTTAGGAGTCCTGTCTCGTTCAGAGTACAAGATAGCTTAGTTGTACACAGAGCACAACAGCTTACGCTGTTCTGGCAACTCGTAATCTTCCAGTGCTTGATTTTGCAAATTTAATACTGTCCTTTTACCATGGAGAGTTTGAGGGAACCTGGAATGTCAATAAAGTGAGATTTGTGTAATATGACCAAATTACTACTCCAGAGACAGTGTCATCCAATTTATGCTTTATCCTACTGTTCATGGTCTTCCCAGTGCCATCGAGTTCTGTCAATCTGTTTGCTGCATCCAGCTATTCTCTCTCATGTGCTAATTAGTTTGTTAGCTGTTCAGGAAGAGACCATTTTAATGTTACGCATTTGTATGCTACATAGAACAGTGAAACCTTGTTCACTGATTAGAGCCTTACTGGCACTACTAAAATAATTATGATACCACCCACATCAGAGGTAGCACACCAACACAGCAGTTAAAAGACCACCTGGAAGTGCTGAGGCATGCAAAAGTAATGGGGAAAATAACAAAACAAGTTCTTTCAAACCCTTAATAAAAAAAATGTTTCTTTTGTGACTGGGTTGCATTCTTTAAAATACATAGTTTTGTCCACCCTGCTTTATTCATCATTCAGTTAAATACATAGTGTGACAAAAAAACTGACAGAGCAAATAATAAAGTATTCCCCATCACAAGCAATGTATTAATAGGTAGCCAAACCTCCAAACACGTTTCTCTGTCTGAGACTAACTCAGGAACATGGTTTTAAAACTAATTAGCAAGATAACCTTTTTCCCTCTCCCTTAGGAAATCTACTGTGGCCGATCCAAAACATATCCAATCCAAAATTCAAATCTAGGTTTCTTGCCAGCCATTACAGGACTAATTCCCACAACAGCCCAGAGAGTTTTAGCCATATTCAGTGCTCCACTGAATATATGTTTACAGCTAAAGCACAAGGTGTTGTTTGTTGCATGGAAGCTTTATACTGGCCGTTCTTAAGAGCTTACAAGATTTCACTAAAAATAGCAAGCTAGCAACAATTGTCATAAAACGCGTAAAACTAAATGCAGTAGCACAGGTTTACTCAGGTTTACTTCCCAGATAAAACAGCATCAACTTTTAATTACCCATGCACAGACAAACAACAGGAGCAGGCATTTCCACAGTGTTTTGCTACAGCGCAGCCCAGGTGCAAAACCTGCAGCACAAACTCGGTCGGTCACTGTGGCAGCATCTACGTGGCAGGGCAGGCGCACCCCGAAACGTGGCCCACCGTTGTGGTCCCTGGTTGTTCCTCCTGGCTGCTTCCCAGCTGCGTGTCAGGACAGAGCTGATGTGTGCACCGCTCTCCCACACACCTGGGATTTCCCTGCAAAGACAACCCGCGGCGGGGGGAGACGGCTGCCGGCAGGGGAGCAGAGACGCCTGCCCACCAGTGCAGAAGCCAGGCAAAACACGGACCGCTAGCCCTCCACGCAGGGAGAGGCTGGAGCTCCACATCAGTGCTAGCGCAAACTCTGTCCCCTCGACGTGACCGGTGTCGGTGCAAGAGCAGGCAAACGAGGGAAGTGGGATGAACGCCTTCCTAACTCCGTGGGAAAATCCAGAAGCACGGTGCCTTCCTGGCCTTGGGCTGGCCAGAGAATAAAGACAAAGGCTAACATTAAATTTACACTGCGAGAACGTCATGTGAGAAAAAAAGGCAAAAAGGTTGTATTTGTATTTGGAGAGACTGAGTTAATGGGGTTATGGCCTACAGCTCATGCACGCTACCGTAATACAAAATGCGCTGGTACCATACAATCAAATCATCTAGTCTGTTAGCAGGATGCATCCTAAAATGTGCCTTTACGTGTTAAGCCTTTCACAGAAGAGATCTGTAATCTTCTGTTATTTTCATAATGCCATACACACCATTAAATACGCAGTGTGTATGCCTCTGGAAACGTTCCCAGTAATAGCCATTTCTATTTTATTTGCCTCTACAGGAAAAAGGGAAACACTTTTGAGAGCAAAAAATACTTACCTGCTCATCATTCACACCTCAATTTCCTCAGGAAATCAAAAACACTGCTTTTAACAGTCTACCTTTAGTTCACTGCTTGAATCTGACTTTCATCTCCATGGAATGAAGCTTGGTTAGAAGCTTATCAAGGAACTGAATTCATAAATGTCTAGACTGTGGCACAGAAATGAAGATATACTGAGTAGGGCAGTAGCTCTCAGCAGCAATCAATAATCTTCTGCTAATGCAGTTCTGACTTCATTCTCTACATGTTCAACTTCTGCTAAACAGAAGAAACTGGCAAATATTTAGCCAATTCAATAACTTATTTTTAGATGAAACCTTTTAGATGAGGTCAGGGTCTTGTGCAGTACTCTCAAGACGGAACAGTGACTTTAAAAGCATAACCACTTGACCTAATTTAACCACAGGCCAGGCATTATTCCCTTTATAAAATTAAGGTAATATGAAGACCACCCTACGAACACAGCGCTGGTCCCACCTGCTGAGCATCCCCTGCTCCTCACCTCTCACTGTGGTAATCCTGCACAGGCCATTTTGGGGGGGCGGCACTCCACACAGCACTGCCCCAAGCCATTCCCTGCTTTGGCTAAACACCGCAGCCTGGTTTCCATTTTCTTGCCTATTTAGGACTGTAACCTCCCGGTGGAAAAAGCTCTCAGACATCTGGTGAGTGCCTGTCAAGAAGGCTAAAGAGAGCATGGGCTCAAGGACACGGAGATGGTTCAGGCGGATTGAAAATGTCATTGCCAACACCCTGACTCCTGGTGCACAGGCAGCCACCACACCAACCATACGGTACACTCTGAGACAGGTGTTCAGCAAGTGGTGCAAGTGAAGCAGCCCAGGACCCGCTCAGGGACGTTGTTTCCCAGACGCCACAGGGCCAAGCGAAGCCGGACAGCGTAGTGCACCAAGCACTGGCTTCAGAGCACAGCATTAAAAGGGAAAAAATATTAATCCTGCTTTCATATCATAGATTTGTACTATTTATACTTTCTTCATTTAGTTTTCAACAACGTTTAGCATTTGATTCTGTTCCTATCTAAGATACTAACGGCTATCTCAAGACTTTAATGCAAACAAACACAAAGAAATTATTACTGGAAACCTGAGCCAGGAAATAGTGAAAGTTAGTGAAAATATGACAATGTAATGCTCTACAGGCAAATAGCACAAACAGGGTAAATTTTACACATGGAAAATCCAATCTGCTGTGTCTTTTACTCACCGTTTGATGACTCCGGTCACAGTAGCGCAGTCCAAAGTAATCTATCTCCACTAGGTTTAAGTGACGAAATACGTAGCCCAGGACAACCGACCCTTTCGTTGACTTCTGTGGGAAAGAATTTACAGAGCCTTTTCACAAAGATGCTCTGCCTTTGTCAGCTATGTGCAGTGGCATTCATGCATTCAGTTAGCTTTGTCTAAAAAAAAAAGGGAGGCAGTTCCCAGTACCTTTAACAAAAATTTCAGCTGTACAGAAGAAAATATTTTGTCCTCATACATATTTAATCAATCATTCTGTAAATACTATTAGGTAGCTGGCAGGTCAATAGTTACAAAATACAAAACAAACAAAAAAACCCCACCCAAGTGTACTTGCATAAGCACGATACTGGTGAACCTTGCATTCTTCTAGAAAACTTCTGTTCTCTGATCAAAATTCTAATCCCCGTGACATACTGTAATTCTAAAATCATACTCTTCCTTCCTACAGGCCTGTCACTCAAACTCTGACAACGAAGATCAGGAGGCAAAACTTTGCCCTTAAGATCTAAATTATACATCATTAGCTGCTCTGTTACTGCTCTTTGTAAAGAAGGTTAAGTTTTATTTGTTTTCTTTTAAAATATTTTTGATAGTAGAAGTGGGAGCAATCCAACACCCTGAATTGAAATAGTCCCATTGTTTTCTTGAATAGTACTTCATTAAGGGTCTACGCCAGTATTTGCAAACAATGCTGGGGACAATATTGCAAACAACATTGTACTGTTGAGAACGCGTGATAAAAAGCTCACTTCTGCCTGAATGCCTCTTATTTGTTCGTTCACCTGGCAGCCAACAACAAACAGATTAGGAAGACTGATTACACAGAATGATCCCCACTCAGAATCAATTAGAGCCTTTGACTATTACAGCCCTAAGTTCCACAAGAAAATATGGGCATAACTCATAATTACGTTTTGGTTAACTGCTTCATATTGTATAAACTGCTAGGCTGTAGTAAAATCACCGGAGAGAAGAGAAAGAGGAAGAGGAAGCTCTGGGATATTGTTTCTGCTATTTCACATTTTAGCCTACGAACAAATAATTTCAAAATTTAAATGGCAGATAATATTGATTAAAAAATCATCTAATTTAGCTTTGCTGAGTATCAATCACATAACGACAATGAATATGCATCCATTTTTTTTCAGCAGGTGCGCTTGGTCAGGATTTGTACCTCGTCACACAGGCAGGGCCAATACAACAATTTCAGATGGCCACTCACGCTCTAAGCAAGCCATGACAAGGTAAACATCTCTGGTAGGCTGGGAATTGTGTATCCATGCTGTTCACCAGATTTACTACATATTTGCTTAAACCAGGACATGTTCTTGAAAGCTTCTCAATGTGTAAGAGTCTAAAGCCATCATACAGGTTGTTTACACTAAGCAACTGTAATTACATATTCCCTCAGTATTTACAGTGAGACTTAATGATCAGCCACAAAACAGAAAACAATTTGGGGGAAAAAATGATTAAGGTAAGCTGAAATTCACTAAATGTCATTTTAGCATTTTGGATAAAGCAGAGCAATACCATGATTTTATCATCAGATTCCTCGACAAGAAACTGAACTTAGGTTGTAAGAACAACCCGAGACAAGAATCAGCCCCTCTTAGCTACAGAGTGACTATCAGGAGCACTACAGCAAAAAGACAGAAACAAAACAAAACAAAACACACCTTAAAAAAATCTTTAAAAATACAGGTTGAATTATTAGACAGCAGGGATTCACGACTGAAGCAGCAATTGTCCTGCCTCATTTTATCTTTAAGTCAGTTGCTATTCAAAGAAGCAGGGGAGATGTCCCACTAAAAAGCACATAGCTATCTCATCATTCATACGTCACGTAAGGCAAATTGGAACCATTGGAACCATTTCCATTATCATTTAAACAGTACAACAATGTCTTGGGAACCTAGGATTGGACAGGCGTCTCTAGAAACAGACACAGGAAAAGCTCAAAACAAACAAGCAGCCCTGACTCCAAACGACACGCGCAGATAAATGATGGCGACACTTCCAACTGGGTACTAAACGCTAGAAAGAGTACTGTAGACAGGAGGAGCTCCCCCACCAGCGGCTCAGAGGCACAGGGGTTTGACACAGCTAGCCAAAGTGTGGTTAGTAGACCCTTGCAGAAGGCACAGAAAGGGCTGCCTGCACCCTGGCTTAGGGGACAGGGAGTGGTGTCCGCCGAAGGCATGCTGAGCTTCTGTGATCGTGAAGCTCAAACATGCTTGCTTTCAATGACCTTTCCACTCTTTGTCTGACCAGTAATGTTATTCATAGCATCAGGTAAGTTTTATTAGCAGAATTAAGAAATAGTAATCCAGCGGCAAAGATGAAGCTGTCAATTTTCCGTTCAGGCATCTTACAATAATAATACACACTCCTGAGAGTAATCAAAGACACTAACATAACAAAGAAGCTTAAGTCTTACAGGAGTTGAACTCTGCACCAGTTTAGGATTCTTGGCTGGAAGTCTTCTTCAGTCAGCTGAGGGCTGCAATGGGCTCTACGTAAAGAGTCTTTGGGACAGCTTTCCTCCTGTGGGGGCTAAAGCTAGTGTGTTATCCCCAAGAAAGACACACTTTTCACACCTGGTTTGGCTGACATTAAAGACGCCCTTCTTTCCTTTCAGAGATAAATAGCAACAATGCGTAAAAAGCTTTTTAACTGTTTTTTACTCATATTGCTAGGCTGAGAGAAAACATAAATGCCTCTTTATTTATTCTCTTGACACAGCTCAGTTAACACTTCCATCGTTGCAGGTCCAGCTGTGGGGAAATGCTGAGCAAAACCATCCAACTTACAATGGCTGGGGGTGCTCCACCTCTAGAGCACCAAGATGCGCTACACTTTGGTAATCCTCAGCCAAAACAGACTGTGTGCAGTAGTCTCTGTAGCCCTCCTCGCCAATCGCTTTCACATCCTTCAGCAATGCCTGCATGTACACCAGGCAGTGCTTCGCAAGGGAACTGCCAGGATGAGAGCCAGCAGGTATCCCCACACCCCTCTAACCTCACCTTCCTCAACTTCGTATTTTCCCAGCACGGAGGAGCACTCTTCAGGTAAAACACTGACCCTTGCTGAAACCACTGCAACTTCATTTTCAATTAAAGTTCTCATTTTAAGCCACGTGATTTCAGGGTTCCACGCAAGTAAATTGCCTCTTCAAATGGCATTAAGAAAGCAATTTTGCTGATGAAACCGTAAGTGGATTCATCTACTTCTCAGTCCTGAAATACATTTTTACTGCAGTTGAAGAAAGTCTTGCTTTCTCAGAAAACTCAGAAAGGCCATCTTATTTCCCGATAAAATTACAGCAAAATTCAGCAAAAATGCAAACTAAAACTATCAAAGATGTTAACAGGATTACATTCACATCATATGGCATTGCAAAAATTACATAATCTGTCTTGCATTAAGCTCAGACTTGCTAGAGGCTTGCATTCTTAGGGGTAAACCCAAGAATATTTGAAAATATTATCATCAGCAATGCTTTCAAGAGAGAACAAAGAATTGTTCAAATGAGTCATAACATCTTGCTTTACATGTTAGCACCGTGGCTTCATAAACCAGAAAGGCAGGTTTCTACTAGCTAAAGAAAATGACAGCCAGAACATTCAGGAGAGATCTGATTTAATTGTTTTTTTTTTAATCAAAAAGAAATCATTTTTTTAATAATGGTACATACAGTACTATATTTTAACACATAACATATGTATATTTAGTCACCAGGAATTCTTACCTTCCACACTGCTTGTTGCTTTTTAGCTCCAGTGAGGTTTTTCTAGGTGGAAATTTTTTAATTTTCTCTTTCGTGTTGTACACAGCAGTGCAGGCCAAATCAGATCCACGATCCATGTCAACTGAATTTAAAGACAAGGCAAGACGTGCAGCAATGTCTGCCTCAGTAGGATGCTAGTCGCTCTCTTGAAAGAAAAGCGGTAGGTAGTGAAGCCTCTTTTTATTAAAAACAAAATAAAAAACACATCGACTCTTTTAGTTCAAGCACCCATCATGAAATCTTTCTCCTGAAAGTAATTCAATCCACAGACTACCTCTTACAACCTCATAAATGCTAAGGTAGATGCAGACTAATTCATGAGCCTTTGCTCAAAAAAAAAGGCTTAAAACTTTGGTTGAACACAACCGTTGCCTTTTGAGATGCCTCCCTCCACCACAACCATTGTTAGAGTCTATTGGAAAGTCACAGCTGATGCAGAATTAGTTATTCTGCTTATATACTGGCAAGAGATAACAATACAGAACGAGAGCAGCAGGTTTCTAATGCTGAACAAGGGAGTTTATATTACAGTATGGAAAAACAAGGAGGATGCTATGGGGAATGACACACAATCACGCTGAGATATTCAGCAACACCTGTGTAAGATCCCCACATCTCCCTGTCAAGTAGAGGACTGCGTGGGTCGTGCTGCTAACAAGCCCTCCAAGCGGGAAGCACGTTTGATCTGCTACCTATGCGCTAGGCAGCAGCTCGTGCCCACGCAGTACACGAGGTGCTCTGTATGTGCTGGCGATGGAGCGCGGGCACCGGCACTTTCCCCGCCGGTGCGCAGGGAAGGGCAGAGAGCAAGCACAGCTCTTGACATGTGTGTCAGGACCGCCCCACCTGCGTCGACCAGCCGGAGAGATGCAGTATACTGAGGCAGACATACTCCAGACAGTAAACTTTACGCAGCGTTTTCGGAGACCAAACAGCAATATTTTGCCCTAAGTAAAGGTTACTAAGGAGAGATGGAAGTTATGCACAAAAGCAGCATACAGTCATGCAGCTGAGGGCGAGCAGAGCCACCAGTTCATCCCATTCCTGGTAGGTATGTAACAGAAACAGGTGTCTCCAAACAGCACTCTCTCACTGTTCTTCTTTTGAGCTCAGAAAAGACCAGACACCACCGCAGTTTCTATCACCTTCCATCTATAATAGCAGCAAGGCACAAGGCTCTAAAACTGGTGGTCTTTACCGACACAGAGTAAGCACCCCTTTTCCCCAAGGCAGTCAACCAGCCAGGCCTCAATTTGCGCACTGTTTGTTACAGCAGAGAAAAATCTTTAAATTAACGATGCTAAGTATTTACAAATACTCACCTAGATAAAACAGCTTGACCTTAATTTGCAGAATGCATGTCCAAACAGAGAAGAATTTACATTAGAGTTATTTTAAATGTGCAGACATTCCCCAACACAATCACGTAACAGAAGGAAACACTTTGAGAAACTGAGGATTGAACACATGCAAATGTAATACCACAGTCTGCCCTAGGTATACATCATACAAATGCACCCTACAAACTGCACTAATCCACCCCTCCCTCTCTCCCCGTCTTTCACTGACAGCAGACAGGCCAACCTGTTTTCAGGGTTTTTTTTCTGAGAACTCCTCACAAGTTTACGGACACATGCACAGACCTCCCCATCTCTGTTCCCAAGAACTGGACACAGCGCCTGATCTGTCTGCTGGATGTAACCTACGGCACTGACTTTTAAGTGCTGTGTATTAAGATGCCTGTAGACTCGTTTTATTTTTACTAATGGTCAATCTAACACATTCCCGTTAGAAAATGCTATTCTAGAAAAATGCCCAAAGGTTCATCTTATTTGTCTGGTTTTGCAATTAGTGTATCTGTCCCGAATTTATAAATACTTTAAAAATCCACTGAGGGGCCAACTCCTTACGAGAGGGGAAGGTTCCTGGAAGCAGAGTCTCCAGCTAGTTAAACCTCTCCCCTTGTAACTGCTGGCTAGAGTGCACTTTGAGGCTTTGTCATAGATAGATGTAAGCTGATCTACTTGACTCCGAGAAAAGATACATAAAAGAAAAAAGTTAAAAACAAATATTTAACAAAATATTTCACTTATGGGAAACTACTTCAGCCCAGTGGGCTCCTTTATTAAGGGTAGATATAAGCAACTATATTTACTTGGTATAGTAATGCAATTTGTACATGCACACACATTATAAGAAATGCTCCAAGCAGGAATCAAAGTCCAGAGAAGACAACAATGGGCAATTAGAGCAGGCAAATAAGTAATGGAAAGACAACTGAATTTTGGAAATGTAATTAAATACTTACTAATGCTTTAAAATTGAACTCTCATCAGCCATGAATGATATTTTGTAAAATGGCAGCAACTAGTTCTGTGTGGAGGGATTCTGGCCGTAACGATTTTATTTAAAAATCGGTTGACTAATCTATCCCTAATATTAACATTATTCAGTTCACTAACATCTACATTTATGTATGACAAATGAGTTAAGGTACCAACAATAACGCATTTCAACTTTTCACAGAAAAGAGCTCTTCTGAAGAACTGAATACCAATGATCATTTCCATCATTCCCAGCACTTTGAATAATTCCTACATCAAAAAAAGAAACAGTTATAATCATGATGAAATTCAAAAATACAGCATACAACCACTCATTTGAAATGGTTAAGCTGTTGGCTACTATTATTTTTCTACTTCTCAGAAAACACTCTTCACACATAGCTGTGTGACCTGGTGTATCTTCTCATCAGGCAGGGGCTCTGCGCATCCTGATTAGGGATGCTCCAGAAATAGACCACAAGCACCTGGCGAGGCAGAAGACAAGTACACGCAAATTCATAATGCATGCACTCTTCATGCGCTCTCAGAGACTTGTTTTAAATAACTCCCATGAATATGGAAGACGCGACCCTTTGGACCCGCCAAAGGCTGCGAAGCTGCGAGGCAGGAGGAGGCCCTTTCCTCTCGGAAGCTGTGGCGGAGCAGGGCTCTCACGGGGGCCTGGCGGAAGACGAGGGCCCGCGCCCCAGCCCTGGGCTGGCCGGCAGCAGGCG